GTGGCACTTTCCACTGTTGTGTCACACTGAAACTCAAAAAATGACTTGGAACATTTTGGAATTTTGGGTGTTTCTAGTCCCAGATACTTGGATAATGACAATTAATCTGAACTAGCTTTTCTTAGAGTTAGGGAATTACTAACCTGCATTTAGAAATCAAAGTCCAAAGAGCCAAAAATTAAACTTTTTGTTTGTTTGAGACAAGGTTTCACTGTGTATCCCTGGTTGTTCTGGAGCTCACTCTGTAGACCAGGCTGGCCTTGAACTCAGAGATCTGCTTGCTTCTGCCTCAAGTGTCCAGATTAAAGGCATGCACCACCATTGTCTGGCTTAAACTGTTTTAATATACATTACTAGTAGACAACTTGACAGAATCATTAAATAATCCAGCTTAATAGAAACTGTTCCTTGGAAATCTAACAGGCTTATTTTTTAACATATACCCCTTTCAAAAGGTATAAGATAGACAATTTGAGCCGGGGAGTGGTGGCGCATGCCTTTAATCCCAGCACTTGGGAGGTAGAGGCAGGTGGATTTCTGAGTTCAAGGCTAGCCTGGTCTACAGAATGAGTTCCAGAACAGCCAGGGCTACACAGAGAAATCCTGTCTTGAAAAACAAACAAAACAAAACAAAACAAAAGATAGACAATTTGACTTCTGTGAATTTAAAATGAGTGCTGTCTTTCCTCATTCCTGCCTCGGAGGGAGGTGCTAATTTAATGCTGGGGGTGTAAATGTTGGTTCCAGAGGACAGAGCGAGGACTTGTATCCCTTTGTGTCTGCTGTAGGTCTCCTTGTCTAGACAAGTCCTTGCTGTCACCTTCAGTGCTCAAGTAGCTGAGTGTGAAGCACAGAACCAGACTGGCGGACGGACACTGTACTGTGAAACGACACGAACCTTCAGCCATCAACTGTCCTCATCAGGTGAGGAGGACTTTCCCTTTGGCTTTCATAAACTTATCAAGCTCGCAGCACATGGGCAGTGAGCAAGCACACCAGCTGCAGGCCGAGGACAGCGAGCGCATGGAGAAGGCTGCATGAGACGCATCCTACCTGTGTGTGTTCGCAGATGTTTCTTTAGCTGGGACACATCCATAAACCTTCGATGGCAGTGGCTGCATTCTGGTAGTGAGTGGCCTTGCCGCAAGGATAAAAAAAGTGTCAGTGCGTGTGTGCTCTCCCTGAACTTCTCCAGTGATCTGTGCTAAAGCACTCCCTGAAAAATAATCACTTTAGATACGGCACTTTAACAACAACACACTTGATTACTCGACGAATCTCAACTCAGTGCTTCTTGGAGAACTTCTCCTCACCTTTCTCAACACCCTTCTCGCCAAACACTGGTATGACTATTCACCTGCATGTCAATGATTTCTCCCCCACTCCCTTCGATTCTTATTAGTTAGCAGGAAGGAGAACAGGACATTTAGCAGATCTGAAGCCACAGATGAGACTTTCTTTCAAGGTGCCACTGACAACAGCCAATCAACTGAAGCCTCTTGGGCAAGTAGCACTTTTGGATATAGCAGTTCTGTGTGGTTTATATATAGTGCAAACATTAAACTGAATCTTATGGTAGTGCAGAGCAACGTGACACCCTTTGCCTTTTTTTTTTTTTTTGGATACAGTCTCAGGCATCCCAGGCAGGCCTTAAACCAGAGGATGATTTTGAACTTCTAAACCTCTTGCCTCTACCTCTCAAGTGCCAGGATACCAGATGAGTGCTCCCATGCTTAGTTATACGTGGCACTAGGGACTGAACCCAGGGCTTCATTCATCCCTATTCAGGGAGCTGCATCCCTAGCTGACTGCTTTCCATTCGCTCTGTAGGATGAACCTACTGGCTCACAAACACTTTGTATCTGCATTTCCCCAGCAGCGGAACTGTTTCCTCACCTCACTGGTATCGTACCTGTATGGACTCGATAATGGCTCTTTAGCTGTCTTTTCTGGCTGAAATATTTTCCACACTGGTCACAGGTAAAAGACTTCTGTCCTGCCAAGTGAAAAATAAAATACTTAAACCACACCAACAAACTGCAGAGAACTGGAATGCTAATAAGATAAACAACACAATGCCCAGGTTCCCATTTTTAGGAGTGATACATCTGTCTACACACCCAGAAGGCTTGTCAGAATGTGCACACCTATGCAAGGCAATAGGGAGCAGTGGAGACTGAGGTAGGACTGGAGGTTTCAATGGTCCCAAAGGAATATAAAGAAAATTCTAAACTCTAGCACTTAGGCAAAACATTGAAATGCACACTGCATGGCAGCCCAAGGCTGCTGCTGTTCAGAACAGCCTATCAGCAGATGCATATTCCTGTCTTTCAGTAACACCACGTGGTAAATGACGCTGTGCTGGGAAGACACCATTTACTGCTGGAAACGGGTACCTGGTGGCCCTCTAGTGTGAGCCTTGTTACCTGAGTGAAGGCTCATGTGCTCCAGCAGGGAGTGCTTGGTGGTCAGCGCCTTGCTGCACACGGTGCAGGTGTATGGCCGCTCCCCCGTATGCATCCTCGTATGAACCTGCAAGGAGTGCTTCTGAGCAAACCCCTTTCCACATTCATTACATTTGAAGGGTCGTTCCCCTGCAATCAAAGCCAAGAAGCATGGTGTAAGCAGGAACCTGTGCATTTTTTTCTCTTTCTTGCAAATTAAAAACATACAGTATTGAATCATTTATGTTAAATAAATATTTAGGGCAAACTTTCCAAGTGCAGCAGATAGGTGAGCTATCAGCAATAAAAGCCAAGAAAGGGGAACAGGTGAAATGAAAGCCGACAGGCGATAGCCACGAGATGCAAGCTAACTTGTAAGACTCAGCCTCTAAAGGTTTCAGAATGGCCCCACTCCTGGAGAGGGTGAAGTACACGGGATTTAGAGGGAAGGCCGTCCCTTCCTATTCTCTCTTTTCCATTCCACACACCAAGAACACAAATGTCTCCCACTCACCACCAAAGGATGATGGAGACTGTTCTCTGAAGAGAGTAAAGGGTCTTTGGATTAGAGGTTACCTGGGCAGCTAACTGGAAAGTCAAATCTCTTTGGGGATAAGGAGAACCCTCTTCCTTAGACATGGCAGCCAGGCCTAGCGCCTCTAGGGAGGAGAGTAGAACCATATCTCCTGGAAGCAGCCATAGATGCCCAAGGCAGGCATGAGTAACGAGGAAGTGGGGTCCACCACATCCTGCCAGAGCCGCTGCTGCTTTACAGGCTGTCTTCATAGCCACAGGAATGCCAACAGCTTCTAGTGCCCTAATCTTACATATGATTAAATGAGTGGTATAAAAAATAGCACTGCATTTGAGAGATGGCTCTGTCTTGTTGTGTTCCTAGCACCAAGAGGGTGATACCCAACCATCTGTAACTCCAGTTTCAGGCCATCTAATACTCCCTTCTGGCCTTTCTGGGTACCAGGCATATAGATGATGCACACACATACATATATTCATACATGCAGGCAAACATTCATACACATAAAGAAATCTTTACAGCCAAGGAAAGCCTCTAATAGTGGAGACAGACACCTGGACAGGTAAGGAAAAACAGCTTTGTGTAAAGATCAAGTACATGGGGCATGGTGGCACATGTCTGAAATACCGGCATTTGGGACGCTCAGATCATGATTTCAAGGTCAGACTGCTATTTAATGAGATCATGTCTCAAAAAAAAAAATTACACTGGGGTTGGGGGATTGTCCAAGGAAGCACAAAGCTCTGGAACGGAGATATAGAAAACCTTCGGGTTTTTGGTTTTTTTTTGTTTTTTTTAAAGGTAGAAATAGCAAACCCAGAGGCTAAAAAGTATGGCGACAATCTCCCAGAAAATGAAGCAAAAACAGAGTGCAGGTGAACGTGAGGAGGTTACGAGCCGGTCAGCTCAAGCAGCAACAGCAGCGTGCGTGGGCAGGAAGAAAAACAACACCACGGTAAAACAGTGTGTGTGGAGTGATTGAACACAGTCTTCTGGAGTGAGAGCTTTCTGACGTACCTGATCTATACCAAAGAAAGAGAACACGCATTCTAAGGCTGACTGCAAAGGTTTAGAAACCAAGAGGGATAAAGGGAAGATTCGACAAGCTATTTCCTTAATTATGTTTTCTGAACAATATAATGTTTTTTTAAGTTAGGCACCACTTGGGTAAAAGTAGCTAAAATGCAATCTAGTATTAGGATCCATTAGTTACAGAGCCCCATTAGAAAAATAAAATAGAACCCACTACAGTTCAATATGTATTTGAGATTTTGTTCTGTTCAAAGTATCATAATTGAGGTTTTTAACATGCACAGCCCCTGGGGAGCTCTTTCCCAGCCAGCAGCTCATGTACCCCAGGCCTGCCTTGCAGCCAAGGATGGCCCTGGACTTCAGCTCCTCCTGTCCCCACTTCTGCAGTGGCACAGAACACGCCACCTCGCCCAGTTTCTGTGGTGTGGGGAGGGAAGCCAGGGCTTTGTACATACTAGGCAAGCACTCTGTCAACTGACCCACATCCCTGGGAAACTTCAAACATGGATAATCCAGACAAGTAAATCAGGAGCCTGGGTGTGGGACGCAGGAAGCTGTCGCTCTGCAGGTAGATCTAACACCCAAGCTGAGTCACATGACAGCAAGAGGCCAGCAAAGAGAAAAGTTAAAACCCCAGCCCTTATACTTAAGCTCGCAAGAGACGATTACAGCGTACCTGACAGGGTGAACTGAACATCTCAAGAAAGGGCTCAAAGATTTCCTGTAGAGATTCACTGTCCAATACGGTAGCCACCACACATATGTGCTTATTAAAACTTATGTTAACTAAAACAAATTAAAATTCAGTTTCTCAGTCTAGCTAGCTATAATTCAGGCTGGGCATACAGCTCAGTCGTAAACTGCTTGTTCGGCATGCATATATACCCTGTGTGCCGTGCCCAGTACTGTAAGAGGAAAAAAGGTCTGTGTGTTGTTGGTGGCTACCCTACAACAACCACACCATGGCGAGCACAAAAGGCATTTCGATCACAAGGGGGACTAATGGCTAATGCTGAGTCAGAGACACCCAGAAGGAGAAGATATTCACAAGACGGCTAAACTATAAAGATGTCCATAGAACAGAGCAAGAGAATGCTTCCGCAAAGATGAGGAACAGTCCTGAATCAAAAGGCAGGAGGTGCTTAATAACTTGGTAATGTAAAAACCCCAGGGCTCTAAATCAGGCTTGAAGGGTCATGGGTGAGCCTGCACAGACAAAACCATCTCCTCATCTGTACATTGGAGATATCACCTACTGTGGGGCTATGAGACCTAAACACAACATGAAGGCTTTACTGCCATGCCTATCATGTAGGAACTGAACAATAAATAAGTCACGACCACAATTCCAGATTCCCCAACTGATCGCACCAAGTTTGGGGAGCGTAGTTACCGGTGTGGCGTCTCTGGTGGATTGCCAAGAAGTGATTATATTTAAAGACTCTGTCGCAGTCTTTACACCGGGCCTCAGGGCCACTGGAGCGCTTTTTTCGTCCACAGATCCTCTTGGCTGTACTCTGGTCATCTTCATCTCCAATAAGCTTGTAATCTTTAAGCTTGACAGACCTGCGGATCCTCCGCTTGCTGTACCTACTCTGGCTATCCTGCCCATCCCGAGCCTTGGGGTCCGAGTTCTCGTCCTTTTCGGCTGGCATCTCTCCCGCTCTGCCTGGCTCACCAGCAGGCTCTGCCTCCTTTTCTTTTGGAGTCTGCTCCCTCAGTTTGACACTGTCTTCTTCTTTACACACGAAGTTTTGTCTATTCTGAACTGAATTGTTAACTCTTAGCTGCGTCTCTCCCTCTGCGGCTAGTTCTGATTTCCCTTCCTGCAAACCACTGGTTTTTCTTGGCCTTCCCCGTTTCCGTTTTAGAGGGTCATTCTTCTTATTGGAAATAACAACCACTGGAGTACCTGTGCAGCTCAAAGCCGGTGGCTTTGGAGAGCTATGGTTATTCTGGAAGTCTGTGTAAGCCTTTACCAGGTCATAGACTTTTAAGAATTGAGCAGTAGCCAGGATTTGTTCTGTCGTTTTGTCACTGGCATGTAGATAACCTGTATAGATAAATTCTAGCAGGATACCAAAAGTGTCTGCAACCATGCCTTCCAGCATATAAATGGACTGGCCAATCTCGCCCTCTTCCGCAAACATCATTGAGAAATACTCGCTACTGGCAGCAAGTAAGGCTTTATGGGCTCGGAAATGCACATTCTCCACGATTAAAGTAATATCACAAAGAAAGCCCTTCTTCCTCTGATCCTCAAGACTAGCCAGGACAGTGTCACTGTGAGTGTCTGAGTGTACGACAAGCTGCCCAGAAGGCTCCGGTGTTGTGTCTGCCATTTTCTCCAGAAGACTCTGACGAGGCTTCAATCTGAAATAAGAAAACAATGTTTATTTAGGAAGAAGTATTGTCTAACAAGACTGTTCGTGCGTGCTCCAGCTGTCACAAGCCAGTTTTGCCATTACCACCTTCTAAAATCTACTTAGAAAGCCAAGCCTTGGGTTCCTCCCCTTGTTGCTGCTACCCTGATGGATGGCTCTCTAGTTCCCACATAACATCCTACGGTCTGGAATTTCCTCTGGAATTACAGAATGGAATCAAAAGTCTGCACGGCCCTCCCTTCCATTAACTTTGTAATTAAACTTTCAAAGTGTGGCGGCACAGTGTTGGAGTTGGGGCCAAGCTGCCGCGATGCTACACATGAACAGCTGTTTCGTCTGTGGGAACAAATACGAGAAATACGGGAACGAACCCACGCAAGGGAGATCTGCGGGGAAACAACGCACGGCTGCAGAGGCCCCGCTCTGGGCAGCAGCGGTGCCCGGAGCGCCGACCCAGGCCTGGGTCCCGCGGGCGTTCCAAGGCTCCGGGCCGAGCCCACCGGCCGCGGACCTACCTGTCAGGGCCGCCCGGCGGGGTCCTGCTACGGTCAGTCCACCTCGCTGCCCAGAGGGCGCTAACCGGGCCTGCCGCCGATCCACGCCCCCGCCGCCACTACGCTCTAGCTCAGGGTTCTCAGCCCCGGGTCAACCCGGAAGCGCGCACGCGGCGCCGCATCACGTGACCGCGGAGTCCCGCCCCGGGGGCGGGCTTTGCTGTGGAATCCGGAAAGGGACGGTCTGGTGCGGAAACCTGCCAATCTGCGGAAATTGACCTCCAGTTCCACAGCCGTCTTTTCCGTGGACACCTTGTAGACCCCAGGTCCGCTGATTAGATGGTGAGCATAAAGACGGCGGTGGCTTCAGTCACACCTTATCAGCAGATATGTGCCTCCCGAATGAGTCTCTCCTCTGCCTCCTCTCCTCCCCAAGTCACTCATCCTCAGCGCCTGGTTACCACCAGTGCCCACCTGGTAGGGTTCGAAAGCGCTTAGTGCCTGGCTTGGCTACTGTGACTGAAATGACCGCGGTTTTTATTTAGATTTCCGGCACTTCTAAGAGACTGTTGAGGGTTTCAGTTGTCTCAGGGCAGTGTTGTTCCCTCTGAGACCTAGGAGTATGAGAGAGTTCTTTAAATACAAACCTGGGTAGCATCTGCTGTGGCTCTCCTGTGTTCTGGATTGACGCTCCTAAGCCTCACTCAGATTCCTTCGAGACCTACTTCCAACTGTGCCAGCAGCTTCCGCTCAGCGTTTATGCAACTCTTGTACCTAATTATTTCTACTTCGTCCACTTCCAGATTCTAAATTTGCCATCTATATGTATTATCCACTATTTGGAAACTAAAGATGGAATTACCAGCCAGACTCTTTCATTCTTACTAATTTTTATTAAAAGCAGCTCAAGCCATAGTTTCCCGCTCTAAGGTTTCCCCTTTACCCGGACCTGCCTCTGAATACTTCAGATTTGTGGGCATCCGAGTGGGATGTCGGGAGTTCTGTTTGACTTCTGCACTCCAGAAGGAACAAGAGTGGTTGTGGGGTTGGGGATATTGCGAAGTGACAGAGCCTTGGGTTCGGCCTTCAGCTTCGAGAGAAAAAAAAAAAAAAAAGAAGGAACAAGGGTCAGTCTTTCGACTTAGCTTTCACATAGGTTTTTGTTTGGTTTTCTGCTGAAAGAATTGCAGTAAAAACACTGCAGTTAAAACTCCACAGAGGCATAATTAGATCAAATTTACCAAATGATCTGCTATTTAAATGAGAAAGCTGGTAACAGTGTCACTAGGAGCTGGTCACCAGGAGCCAGTCTGAGGAAGATTGCTGGAAAGGGCTGGTTGGCTAACAAGGCTGAGGTGGCCAAACCAAATGTGAGATGCATGCGGCTAGACAACTGTAAAGATACAGGTTAATACAACAAAAACTAACAAAATTTAAAATGCTAAAATTAGTTTTTTGAATTTTGAAGAATTTAAAATGTCAGCTCATAGCAAGAATCTAGTGTTGAAGATATTGATGGTAATATCACTAGAGCATAGATTATACACTTTTATGAGTAAGATTGCTTGATAATAGAGGAAACAGTGAAATAAGTGGGTTATCCAGAATTTTTCTTTTTTCTTTTCCATATCTAATCTCCATTATTCTACTGCTTCCCAGCTTGGAAGGGAGAGAGAAAGAGAGAGAGAGAGGGAGTGCGAGTGGGCGTGATCTAGAGAGAGAGAGAGAGGAGCCTATATTAACAGAGCCTCCTGTCCCCTGCCCCCTGATGGATTGGGTCTGTGGAGAACTTGACAGGAGGAAGGAGAAGGCTCATCATTAGCTGGCAGATGACGGCTAGTGGAAGTCCTCTGTGGCAATGAAGGGTAACAGAACCTCTGTGAGGCCTGGGATGGTCAGCTGACATCTGCTGAAGAAGCTGTAGTCCAAGGGCCATCATGTTCCGGGACTTGAGGGAACAGAAGGACAATTTCAGTGTTCAACGGTACTAGCACAGCCTTATAGCCCCACCCTCTCTTCCTCCTCCCCACTCTGTCTTTCTCTTCCTCTTCTTCCTCTTCCTCTTCTTCCTCTTGTTCCTCCTCCTCTTCCTCCTCCTCCTCCTCCTCCTCCTCCTCCTCCTCCTCCTCTTCCTCCTCACTAATCCAGTAGTGCTCTTGTTTCCCGGCCCCTAACCTTTGTACAATACTCACATGATATATATTGGCTTTGAAGAAAAATTAATTCAGACTGGGAAGACTCCTAAGAACATACACAATATGCACTTGCTTTTGTACTGAGGGCTTTTCAGCATACTGTAACACAGGTTTGATGGACTTGGAATGGTTAAAATTTTTGAATTTGATTTTTTTTCTCTCTAATTTCACCTGTCTTGATTCTGATAGGTCATTTAATTTGGATGTTACCACTTGGAGAGAATTGTTTTTCAAACCACCCCCAAAATGTTTAGAGATGTATCTTTCTCTACTCAGTTCATTTATAAAAGCAGAAAACCAAACCAAACCAAACCAAACCAAACCAAACCAAGCCAAACCAGAAACATCATCCCCAGTTCTCTACTTGATAGAATTGTTTGAACTTCCTCCCTTTCACCATGAGTGTATGAGATTTTAATACATTTACTGAGTTCAGTATATTTTCAAGTGAATTGAGAATGAAATAAGAGGTAAATTATACAATTTAAAGTATTCAAAACTATAGAATGTGTTCCTTTGAGTTTTGAAGTGGTTGTTCATGTCGGCTCACAAGCATCCATAGCTCCAGTTTCAGGAGATTCAGTGTTTTCTTCTGACCTCTGAAGGCACCAGGCATGTGTGTGGTGCAGTCAAAATGCTCACACATGTAAAGTAACTAAATGTAACAAAATTAAAAATGTAATGTGTAGGAATTTGATCCGATGATGTGTAATAATTCTGTGGTAGGCTGTCTGACATGCTGTGAACGGTGCCTGTCTGTACCTCTCCCGTCTAAGCCTCTGCATGTCTGCAGCTGCATTTGCATGCGTGTGCATTTGCACGCGTGTCTGGGACCACACTGGGCATCCTGGGAGATTCAGCCTCCCGTGCTTGAGTCCCCTGAAGTCTGATGAGAGATGTATTTACTCAGAGGGAAGAGAGAAGAAAGGGGAAGCATGTGGGGTTTGGGTCCTGGCAAGGCTCAGTGACATCTTCCTGAGAGAGAGAGGACAGTTGTCTACACCTGTGCTGGATTCAGCATCTCCAAAACAGTGGCAATGGAAGTATTAAAACTTACAGGGTCATCTTTGAGGTCATCTCAGAGAGAAGCTACAGAACCTCCCTTCCCCTTTTCTGTCCCAAAAGAGGAAACAAAGTCTTAATAGCTCTGTGATTGGTCTTGCTGCTTCTTTCCTGGCAGACTTGAACTCTAGACAAACCCCTGGAAAGTTGTTTAGTGGTTGCTCTACAGCCTGAAAGAAACTTGCTCACCCCCCATAGGTTCATATAATTTTTTGCAGTTATCACAGAGCTTTAAAAAAATCTAACAAACTGCCGGGCAGTGGTGGCACACGCCTTTAATCCCAGCACTTGGGAGACAGAGGCAGGAGGATTTCTGAGTTCGAGGCCAGCCTGGTCTACAGAGTGAGTTCCAGGACAGCCAGGGCTACACAGAGAAACCCTGTCTCGAAAAACAAACAAACAACAAACAAAATCTAACACACTAACAGTACAAAATTAAACAGCATTTTGAGTTATTCCCACTGAGGAAGATGAGGCATGATTGTCAGAGCTTGATGTCACTCTAAGATCTAGGACAAAGGAAAAGTGTGAAACTAAGCAACGGAAAAAGCAATCACTCACTCACAATGACCCCATAAGCCAAACTTTTAAAGCCTTTACACAACTCCATACCCAGACCCCGTCATTGGGTACCCACCTTTGCAGAGCATCTTTTGTCTCACCGTAGCCTCCTCTGTGTGTACGCTGCATTGATGAGTGTGTGGACCACCACCCTGGTATTTCTTTGGTATTCAAGCTGAGTCCACTTGGGATGGCTATGGGTTCCTAATCCCAGTCTCAGGTTCAGGGGGACTGAGTAGGATCCAAATTAGCAAACTTAATCCCCAGTCAAGTGATGTTGCCCTGGGGAATGTGAGATGTTTCTTAGAGGTCTCCAAAATACTTGGAGCCACTCAGCTTGGGCTCAGAATATGGCTTAACTGCTGAAGGATGCCAGTATACCCACTGGCTGAGGAGGCGGCGCGTGGAAATCTAATTAGAAATGAAAAGGCCAATAAAATGTAGTCTGGTGGTGAGAAAATGGTAAATGACAGATACTAAAAAGTCAGATATGTGGGCTGTGTGGCTGGAGAGATGGCTCTGGAGTTAAGAGCACTGGCTGCTCTTCCAGAGGACTTGAATTAGATTCAGTGCCCATATGATAGCACGCAAATCGTCTGCAATTCTGGTTCTAGAGTATATGGCACCCTCAGATATATATGCAGGCAAACTAGAGAGAGAGAGAGAGAGAGAGAGAGAGAGAGAGAGAGAGAGAGAGAAAGAAAAGAGTAGGTGGTACTTAAATCCCCAGAAAAAAATTTTTGCAGTCAACTCCCAGTTTTCTTATACGGTTTAGGGAATTTTCTTTTTTTTCTCTTCCTCTCCCCTTTTCCTCCCCTTCTCCCTCCCTTCTTCCTCTGACCTTTTTTCCTCTTTTTTCTCTTTCTCCCTTTCTTCCTTCCTTTCCTTCCCTCCCTTCCTTCCTCCCTCCCTCCCTCCCTCCCTCCCTTCCTTCCTTGAACAGTGTTCCCTGTAGCCAGGGCTGACTTTGAGCCTGGACTGCTGTTAGGTAGCCAAGGATGACCTTGAACCAGTACTGGGATCTCAAGTATGTGTCATGCCTGGTTTTTATGAGGGGCTGGAGTTGGAACCTAGTGTTTCCTGCATATGAGCTAAACATCTTCTGGTCAAGTGACATCCCCAGCCCGGCATTCTAGCTTTTGTTTAAGAGTTATTATATTAAATCTCTCTCTCTCTCTCTCTCTCTCTCTCTCTCTCTCTCTCTCTCTCTCTTTCTCTCTGTCTGTCTGTCTCTCTCTCTCTCACACACACACACATGCACGTGCACGCGCGCACACACACACACACACATATGCACACACTTAATTTTTTTAAAGATTTGCTTTGTTATTTTAAATTATGGGTATGTGTGTTTATCTGTGCATGTGAGTACAGTACCCTCAGAGACCAGAAGGGGGCACTAGCTCCCTGAAACTGAAGTTCTAGGCACTCCTAAGCTGTGCTGATAGTAGGGTGCTTTCTGAGCCCTCTCTATGGCCCTACAGTTTTTGCTAGTTAACATTTTAGCTGTTTTATACAGCTGCTAAACATTTGTCCATATTTTAAGAACTCGTTCAAATCTAACTTAGTTCCTGCCCCCATAGTCTTTTGACATATTTCATAAAAATCTGCATTTCCTCTTACAACCCTGGTAACTTCTAGCTTTAGAACCATATATTAAGTATATATCAGGGAAGAGTTAACAAAGAGGGAAGCCTGTCTTTTGCTACAGATTTCAGTTATTTTGTTGGGAAAATGACAGTGTCTTATGTTCAGAAAATATACAATTTCTTATGTAAAAAGTATGACCAAGATTTCTAGTAGTTTTATCTCTTGAAGCTTTCTAATGTTTAATGGGTAATTTTCTTTAACAGAGACTAGTTTTCTACTGAAAATGTGAAAGAAAAGAAAGAAAGAGAAAGGAAGGAAGGAAGAAAGGAAGGAAGGGAGGAAGGAAGACAAGGCCAGGCATAGTAACACACACCTTTTTTTTTATTGACCTTACATCCCTATCCATGCCCTCATCCTAGTCCCCCTCCACAACCCCTCCGTTTCCCCCTCTTCTTCTCCTCTGAGAGGGAGGAGGGCTTGCTCCCCTTGTAACCTTCAACCCTGGCCCACAAATCTCTGCAGGGCTAGGAATGGCACACACATTTAAACTCAGCAGTAGGTAGGCAAAGGCAGGTGGAGCCCTGTGAGTTTGAGGCCAGGCTGGTCTGCCTAGTGAGTTCCAGGATAACCTAGGCTGTGTGGAGAGACCCTGTTTCAACTTGGCCTCCCCGAGCAAGAGAAGAAAAAAAAACAAAAGAAAATAGGTTTAGTCCGTATTTTAATATCTCATATGGAATGTCTATTTTGTGGGAACATGAAATTCAGGGAATAAAACAGGAATAAAGGTGAGAGCCGTATGGATACTCAGAGGGTCACCCTTCCTGGTTAGGCCTTTGAATCCATCTGAGGCCCAGTACCTGCACAACATCAGGCAGGAGGGAAATACACTTCAGAAAATGCAGGGTATTAACTCTGCTTCCTCAATCCCCTCTGTCCCTTGGAGACTTCTGGGATTTGGATCTCTGTAACCTAAGCAAGCTACCCAGTAACTGGGTCTATGTTTTTCAAGGACAAAAAGGTCTGTAGCTTGTGATCGAAGTCGATGGCTCTGAACTGTGGCTCCTTGTACTTCCGGGTCATCTTGGAGCTGAGGTACGTTATGAGTTCACATCTTTCCACAAACTGCTCCATCTTCTTCTTATATTTTTTTCTTGAATATTCAGAAGCCTTGGGATTAAATGCTGTAGAAAATGCCACAGAGTTGTGAATGTTTTCTGATAGGTGGTTAGCAAGCCATTCTACAAAGGAGAGCTTCATGTGTAACTAGACCTCACCCAGCTGAGGGAGTCCCATCCCACATAGGTTAGGTTAGAGGGCTGTCTATCTTAGATCATAATTTTCCGGTTCACTTTTCTCTATGGCATGGATTTTTGAGTGCTGATTATATTATTTATTACCCTGGTTTTTTTTAAATTACATTATTAATTTTATGGTGCTAGGGATTGAACCTAGGGCTTTACATACGCTGGGCAAGTTCTCTGCCTCTGAACTACATCCCTAGAACTCTGCATTTGTTTGAGAGATGGTTTCACTGTGTAGCCCTGGCTGGCCTAGAACTTGCTATGTAGACCAGGCTGCCCTTGAACTCACAGAGATGTGCCTGTCTCTGCCTCCCAAGCATTAGAATTAAAGGTGTGCACCACCATGCCTGCTTTAAAGTTTTGTTTTTGAGACAGGGTCTTACTAAGTTGTGTGGGCCGTGCTAGAGCTGACTCCAGAGCCCAGGCAGGCCTTGATCTTTGTAATCCTCCTCAGGCTCCTGCTGGGCTTTTACAGGCCTGCACCGTGGTCCAGTGCACAGTCCTTGATTTAAAAACTGGGGATTTCAGTTTTGATACTTTCCTGTAGATTTTTACCCTGTATTCCATTGGTCCCCTCCCATGCAAGAAGATAATCAACCCAGTTTAACAGCCCTGTCTACCCATGTGGTACAACCCGTGCTGAGCTTTTCCGAATGGGGCATCATTTCGGAAGGCGTACCTTTGAGATGGAAGGCTATGTAAAGGAGCACGGACCTCCTCACGCTTAGGAAGGGGAGCTTGGGCTTCAGGTTCCCTGCCGCATTCATTGCCTTGATCAGGGAAGTTGCTGTCCCCTGCAGGTAAGAGACATTTAAGTCAGTGTATTCGAGTTCAAGGTCATTCCTAATGCAGATAGATAAAAGCCTTTCTGTTCATCAACTAGCCTTCCTAGGATGGGGATGATTAGATAACCATCTAGTCAACAGGAAAGAAACACACGACATTTGATGAAGAAATGAAATATAAACGGACATAATGCCGGCTGGTGGTGGCCGTATGTCTTGCCATTAAGAAAGAAAGAATTGTCTTGACTCATCTATCTGTGTGGTCAGCACTGGGGGCCTGCCTCCTACTCTGTGTTCTTGGCCACATGATGAGCAGTCCCAGAGGCCACAGTGTTACTGTGGCCAAGTTCCTAAAGCCATGAAGGTAAAGAGGCCTTGTAATAAAGCAGGCCTTCTAAGAACACGCCTCCCCGTGGCGGGATCTTCCTTGGCATGTTGGCAGTGAGCCCGTGGAAGGCTCGCTTTGCCTCCATTTCTCCTTTCTGGTTTTCTTTCAGAATTTTTTGAGGCATTCTTGCTATGTAGCTCAGGTATGTGTCGTTGAAGGCTAACTTTCTAGGGAAACTGACAAAAATTAAGTGCGTAAGAAGTTGTGACAAAGTTGTAAAACTGAGTTTTTGACATTTATTTTGCAGGAAAAAAAATAATCATAACTTAAGAAGGCTAGTGAGATGTCCCAGTGGGTAAAGGTTAGAAGCCTGTGTAAAACTGGAAGGAGAGAACCGAGTCTGCAGAGTTGTCATGTGACTTCCACACATGCCATGACACATGTCCCCCTTGTGCACACCGAGTGCATACACATGCACATGCACATGGCAGTATATACACAGACACAAATAATAACTTAAAAATTAAATAACTTTGACATACTATTTGACTGTGGTAAATTTTACTACCTTTAAAAACAACTAAATCTAGATGAATAAAATGTGATTTGAACAGACAGTTTAATGTGGATTTGTTTTGTATCTCACCTATCCTGGTACCGTGACTTAACTCTTTTGAGGAGTAATTTAACCTTTGGGAGGGCAACGCAACATTTCAAAACATTAAAAACAAACTAACAAACAAAACCCAACAACACTAAAATTAAAAAAAGAAAGAAAGAAAGAAAAGAAACTAAACTATACATCCAAATTACATATAAATAGGCTTAAGACAGTCCATTCTCCTTTCCTATGGTGCAGCTCCAAGCATTAAATATAGGAGATCCCAGACTTTATGTTAACAGCCATCTATAAATGAAGAGTGGTTTACAACTTAAAATCAGAAAACTGGGCTGGAGAGATGGCTCAGTGGTTGAGAGCACTGGCTGTTCTTCTAGAAGTCTTGAGTTCAATTCCCAGAAAACCACAAGGTGGCTCATAACCATCTGTAATGGGACTCTCTTCTGGTGTATTCATATATATAAAATAAATAAATCTTAAAATCAGGACACTTTGGCCTGGAACCTCACTGTATTAAAAGTGGAAGTTACTATTAGAAGACACCCTTAGTTCTTGTAACATGTATCATAGAAAGCCATGCAACAGAACCTGTTCCAGATACCCAGGCAAAGGAAGACTGGTGAGGTGGATGGATTCCTTTAGCGGGGGGAGTTTGCGAGGAAGCTTCTGGTCCCAGTATTTCATTGGCAACCTAAGAATACAAAGCTGTTAGCCACATGCTCACACAGGTTCATCCTGTGCGTACAGACACAAGGATGAGACACATGCTCACACACATTCATCCTGTGCGTACAAACACAAGTATAGACAAAGCTCACTGCTTTACCTCCTGGAGGAAATTATACACGGAGGAAGATTAGGGGTCCTAGAAGTTTCTTTTGCTTTTTGATTTCACACAGCGTCTCATGCAACCCACTTTGAGCTAAGAGCAACTTTGAACTCCTAATTCTTCTGCTTCTATCCTGAGTCCAGGGAGTGGCCACCATACCTAGGTCTGGGGTCCCAGCCTTGATCACCTATTTCAGACATTGTAACTTGCACAGCAACTATATAAAACCTTTTTCATTTGTCACAAAATTTGAATTATTATTATTATTATTATTTTTTGGTTTTTCGAGACAGGTTTTCTCTGTGTAGCCCTGGCTGTCCTGGAACTCACTCTGTAGACCAGGCTGGCTCGAACTCAGAAATCTGCCTGCCTCTGCCTCCCAAGTGCTGGGATTAAAGGCGTGCACCACCACTGCCCGGCAAAATTTGAATTATCTTAAGCGGCACCGTCATCCCAAAGATACCTGTGCTCAGGACAGGTAGAGGACCTGTCCTGATAGAGGACACCAGAATGGAGCTTCCTCCAGCGGCTGCTGGTCACCGTCAGAGCCAGACTCAGGGTCCGCCTCCCAGCTGGTACCTCCTGTCTGAGAGCAGTCTGCACCCTTCCTCTGAATCCGAGCTATACTCTGTTGTGGGTCCCTTACTGTGGCTGCTTTTCTCTCTTCCCGCCTCTTGGCACATCCTTATTAGAGCCTTCCAATGCAACTGCATTTCAACATTCTCAGAATTCCCACATAAAGAAAAGAAAAATACCAGAATGTGCTAACCTGTAAACTCAGATCTCAGGAGACAAAAAGATGCTAACCTGTGCTACGGAGTACATTCTAGGCCAGCCTGGGTTATAAGAATGAAATCTGGTCTCAACAACAAACCAACCAATCAACCAGCCCCACCCTCAACCCCCACAACTGGGAACCAAACATAGTAAATTCACCTTCTCACTTCCAATCCTGCATCTCTGCCAGCAACTAACACCTCTCACTGTTTAGAATTACGTTTCTTCAACCCTGAGCCTTTCTAGCTCAGGCACATGCTCTGTTTACACACTCTTTTCTTTTTCTTTTGAAACCAGACGTGAATGTTTAAAATCATAAAGTTTAAAGGGATTTGGTTTCCGGAAAAGCTGGATGGATGGTTGGAAGCAGTGAGCACCAATTCTGTTGTTTCTGGTCTGACTCACTTTCCTTTGCCACTGTCCCCCTGGCTGCTGCAGCTGTCTGCTCCTCTGGGTAGGTCCTGAGCCTCCTCACTCCTCCAGGCTCCCTCAGTTCCACTCAGCAGCACTTGTCAAGACGCCCCGCCCCCATCCCCTGTATCAGGCTGTAAGCTCAGTCTCAAGTGTCAGCCATAATCTAGCTTCACTTCCCAAGGCTTCCTAGAAGGTTCACTCCCCCGGTCTCTGTCTCCTTCCCCTCTGTGGTTGTCCTCTGACCATGTGTGGTGGTGGGAGGGGGGTTTCCGGTGGCAGAGGGGAGGGGGGTTTCCGGTGGCA